AGAGTGTTGTAATCTGAAACCGAACTTTATAACAAATAATAATAATGTATCTAGTATAGGTTAGGAAAATGAATAAAAAGAGGAGACAGAGGGTTATAACCATGCCCTGCTGGTCCTGTATTGGAAATGGCACTTGTAGGCCCAATTCTGATAGAAATGAGAAAAGAAAAGAAAAAATGCCTGACATTTTCATCTTAAGTCATTATAGCTACCCTCCCTCTGTCTTTTGCCTATAAGGAAGTCATTCTTAGGCTTCCTGACCATAAGGTGGCTGTAGGGCCTTTCAGAGCTTGGAAGGCGCTTGGCTTTTTGCTAGTATAATAGACTGGTTATTTAATGGAGTAGTGTCATTCTTGTATGAATGGTTATATTTAAAATTTTTTGGCCAAAGTGATAAAAATATGTTAATAGGATGTGAAAATTATGGTTTCAGTTTCACAGTGAAAATGATCGAGAATTCAGTGTAGAAAGGCAAGAAAAACACTTCTTATATGGAATGCCACAAATTCTGTAGCTTCTCCTAAAACTTAACAAGGTATATATTTTTTGCCATAAGTAAGTAACCACAAGCTAAGAAAGATAAGTGGGTAGCCTGTTCAATTCATTTGATTTGGCTAGGATCTGATGAGTTGGGGACAACACTCTGCTGATCCCATTTTATCTTTCCTGGTAGATTGGATTTTAGATGAAGTTAGAGAAAAGACCTGTGGTTCCCAGTTTTCCTTGATTGCATTGCTGTTTTGAGGGGGGAAGGGGAAAGGCTCTTCTCTTTTTAATGCAAACTTTTTGTTATACCCATACCTAGGGGAAAGTACACATGTATGTGTACAGCTCACTAGATATTCTCAAACTATGGGTGCTCATCTTTTGATGAAAAAAATTCTTTTTAGGTGAAAGAACGAAAAAAACAATTAAAGAAGGAAGGAAAACCTACAATTGTAGAGGAGGATGATCCTGAGTTGGTGAGTTAAATATGGAAAAAGCTACCTTATCTTGTGTGATTGGGTCTACTGATTGATGGGTTAAAGAGAGGGAAGCCAAAAGAATGATGAATATGTGCTATAAACATGTTACTTTAACTTAAAATTTGTAAATGTATATTGAAAACTTAGGTACTTGTGAAGCAAACCAAGAGCAAAATTCTAGATATTTATGATTCTTTTTTCAGTCTTTTCCAAATGTCTCACCTGTACCTAATTCAACAGTAGTTAATTTTAGGGACTCATGTTTATTGAATCTTTCAAAGAATCCTCCTGCCTCAGCCTCCAGAGCAGCTGGGACTACAGGCAAGCACTGCCATGCCCAGCTAATTTTTCT